ATTTGAGAGACTGCAAGCAGGCGGGGCAGGGAAGGGCAGAGGGAGAGAATCTCAAGCAGACTCCCTGCTGAGTGCAGAGCTTGATGCCACTACCCCGAGATCATGACCTGAGCCGAAACCAAGAATCGCTCAACCAACTGTGCCACTCAGGAGCCCCATATTTTTTTAACATTTTTTTCTAAGTAATCTCTACACCCAACATGGAGCTCAAACTCACAACACTGAGATCCAGAGTTACATGCTCTACCGACTAATCCAGCCAGGCACCCCTAGTCTGCTTGTTTTTTAAAAGGGTTTAAATATGCAAATCATAGACTTCTACTGAGCTTTAAGTGAGAATCTGTGTGAACTTTATGTGTCTGGCACATAGCAGGCACTCAATAGTCTTGTCGCCGCACTCTTCTCTGGTTTCCTTTCCTTCCCTCAGATTCTCAGCTGAATTTCCCATTTGATAAACAGGTATTCTTCTTAGTTTGAATATTATCACAATATTCTCATTTGGTACGATGAGTCCATCTGTTCTCACAGTACGGGTTGGAGAAAAAGCCCATCTCCTCTTCAAGGCATTAGGTAAATATATATATATATAAAGGGGTCAACCCCATCTCAGTGCAGAGATCACAGGAGGAGAGCTTGCCTCAGTAACCTCTACTCCATCTTCTTCTTTTTTTTTTTTTAAGATTTTATTTATTTATTTGTCAGGGACAGAGGGAGAGAGCGAGCAAGCACAGGCAGACAGAGAGGAAGGCAGAGGCAGAGGGAGAAGCAGGCTCCCTGCCGAGCAAGGAGCCCGATGCGGGACTCGATCCCAGGACCCTGGGATCATGACCCGAGCCGAAGGCAGCCGCTTAACCAACTGAGCCACCCAGGCGTCCCTCTACTCCATCTTCTATTCCAAGCACCTAACTCTGAGTGATGGGGTCTAATTAGGCACTAATGAAGTGGAACTTAGGGAAAGAAAATGCCAACCTGAGTTCCTGGCACCTCTACCCAGCAACACTAAGGTCTCAGGGTGATCTTATTTTGGTGTCTAGGTGAAAGACCTTTTTTTTTTTTTTTTTTTTAAAGTAACCATGCTAAGCCATAGATTTATATAATCACATGAGAGACAAAATTGAGAGTTCTCTCCACTACTACTGGACAAAATACAGATTCCTTGACTTATGAGCAGGGGGGGAAAGTTCACATTAACACCAAGGACTGTGTGCCAGGGCACTCATCATTTCACCCACCAGTTGCCAAGCTGCTTAAATCACTGGCTTATCCAAAATACAGGGAACTTTTCTGTGCCTGCAAGTCTAGCAGAGCATGTATTTAAATATGAAAGAGACCAGTGAAATTCAAAGACACTAGAATTAAATGAGGAAAAGAAGAGTTGTAAGCCCTTGCTAGACCAAGTCAGTTCAGTATTCCACACTTTGGTGAGTACCAGCCCCTCACCCCTACCCTGGGAACTCTGGGGTCCATTTCCTTGTTAATATCCAGCGTGAAATATTGTGCCTCACAACACACCTGAAAGCTAGGAAGCTAAGCAGGCCCACTTTTAAGAGAGCGAGAACAGACATTTGTTGGCAGTGTCTAACTATCCCCACATTAACTCCCACCTATTCTTAAGTGTCAACTACTGCCATCCCAAATCCTTTGGGATTTCAGAAAGCCTAAATGGCTTTAGATTTCAGCAGGTCCAAATACCGCACCTTAAACAGTGGTTCTGTGTAGCCAAGGGTGTTTCAGCCTACCCTTTGAGAGTTTGGCACAGAACAAGCTCCCCTTTTACTTGACCCTCCTTTGCTAATACAAGGCTGTTTGGCTGGGCCCAGCACTCTATGGGGTAAATGTTCAAGCCAAGAATAGTCTTCATTCTTCCTGTGATGCTTTGAAAGACTTCTAAAGAACACAGGAAATTGTCAACCCTTATTTTCTATTGAAAATGGCTGACACTAAACTTTGAACATTCTATGGATTAATCCCAAATCATGGGACCCAATTTGCTTGAAAAGAACCAATTTTTTTCAGCCATGTCAGAGATGAGATACTCTGATAAACCATCTCAGCATTACTTGCAAAGAATGACATATTTTATAACTCCCATTACTGGCACTGTAGAAAACCCACTTTTTACCAAAATTGCCTTACTTCACAGTGTACTCTATTATCAAAGCATACTTCACTTAGTAACTCCAAAAGGCTTTCTGTGTCTACAAAGAAGCAGGTCTAGAGACTTATCAAAGCACCATGCAAACTTACTAAAAATGCACCATCATTTAAACTTGGGGAGAAGCAATACTCTTTGTCATGGGCCCAGCATCACTGCTTCTATCAACATCCAAGGATAATCTCTCAAGGTCCAGATACCTTCACATGGCCAGTCTTCACTCTGAACCATAAAGGGAGATATGGGCCCTAATTTATACCTGAAGAAACAACTGTTCAGAAGGGAAAGTAATATGCCCAGTTCACAGAGATGGGATTTGAACAGATTAGTGTGTTCAGGGTTTTCTAGCACACTCCAGGTGGTCGTATGGCACAAGACTGAAGCACATAGGCCCTGATGTCATCACCATGACTGGTTCAAACCCAGCTCTGCCAGTTACCACTTTTCTCCTAGGTAAGTCACTAAGTATCTCCAAGCCTGTTTTCAGTCTGTAAAAGAATGATACTGGTATCTATTAAGGGTTAAATGAAGATAACTGCATATGATGCAAATGAAGATAACAAATAAGCACAAAAACTAGTTAACTCACCATCTGGAACATAGTAAGTGTTCAATACATGAATAATTGCTATTATTACAAAGGGCAGGGAAAATATCCTGAATGAAACACAGGGACTTTTGTTTACATTTGCAAGGTTTTTATTAGAAAAGACTTTAATTTACTGGAGTGGCAGACAATTTTTCCTTTCACATCAAATAGGATACCACAGCAGTCTTCATTAGGACATCCTTGGGGAGTCAACAAAATTATTAATGATCTACACACTACCTAAATCAATGGCTTCCAAAGTGGAATGAGCTAGATGATTAACTTGGGCTTAAGAGTGCTAAACTTCCCCCCCCCCTACTTTAAAAGTCTGTTTCATAATGTTCACAGTAACATAGTAGTACATGCATACAATTTATTATACAATTGCAATTATGGATACATGCTGAAAAATATTTAATAAGGAAACAGGATAAAGTTTGGAATAGTGATCTAGATTGACTTGCTATGTCAACATTCTGCTCTTGCTGCATTATCAGGCCATCTTATACACTTTCCTCTTGCTTTTCCCTCACCTACTATACACCTACCTCCACATTACTAGGTCAGTTTCTCCAAGAGGATAAAAGGCACAAAAGGTGGGGCGGGGAGGAGGGGAGGTTCTCAAAATATGCAGGTGGTAGAGTGACACCAAATTAATGAGTCTAAGAGGCAGGAGCCTGTATGTATCTCTTCAGCTCTTAAGAGTATGACCTAAGCTACATAGAAATAAGCCGTACATCCAATCAATTCATTTTATCAACTTCCCTGGTTACTTGTGAACTTGAGAACAAGACAAGTAGATCTCATCCCACTAGGTGGCAGTAAAGCTCTATCATTGTGGTGCCCAAACCTGTCAGTGGACTGACTTGGGTCAATCCTACATACTTAAAGACAGTGGTTACCAAACTGCTTCAGTCACGTAATGCCTCTAGACAATGAAGAGTAGGCATTGCTTTTCTGTTTACAAGCTGGCCTTTCCTTATGCCTTCCTGAATGTTATATGTATTATGAGTAATCATAAAGCAGTTCTCAGAAATTCATAAGCCATACAGCAAAAACAGCCCTCAATATGCTTGAGAAGCCTGGAGTCAACAATCAGAAGACCCATATCAAATTCAGGTAAAACCTTAGGTATGACACAGATAAGGATTTGTGCAATTTTTTAATAGCATAGTAGAATAAAAATGACTTACAAACTTATCACGATATACAGAATTTTTAAATGGTAACTATGAGGACCTGTTTCTAGGAGTAATACTTCACTAGTTAGGCAGGTGGTCTATACAAAGTTTTTCATTTTGCATTCTCCAAATTCAATAGGTTGTCAACTCCCTAAAACCAAATCCTTCTGGTTACAGGTGTTAACCCAATCTTTCTTAACACAGGAACCAAAACAAATGGTGGGGGGGAACCCTACATATTTTACCTATAGTTATTCTGGAACACCTGTCTTGGATGAACCAGCAATTTATTTTTAAAAATACCATGTTAACGTTCTCCAACAGCAGAAGGCATTTTAGGATTAGCAAAACTTTTCCAAGACAATTTTTAACTAGTGATTGCCACCAAATAAGAATAAATGTTTACTGTGGTATTCCTAAATTGTGCTTTTAATGCCTCATGAAATCTACTTTAAATATAGCAACCCTGGGGTGAACTTATACATAAAGTCAAGATTATGTAATATGAATAACCTATGTTTTTACATTTTGGATCTATGTATCTTTGAAAAGCATTAAGGATCTTTCAAGCATACTTACTGACTTGCTTAAATCCTTCAGCGTATGAAGCCAACAAAAATAAGAATTAGCACTTACTTCCTTCTGCTTAGATCATTAATTTTAAAATGTAACAAACATAGTGAAACTTTTTATGGTAATGAACTTGGTTGTTATTAATTGTACTTAAAATGCCATAAAGCATTATGTTAAAATCTGTATCATATGACCTAGTGAAATTATACCACTTTCTTTCCAGTTAAAAGTTTCAGTTTCCAGGGACATGAGAGTTTACCCAAGGTGAATGAATTGGGATTTTTCTCAGAGGAATAACATATTAATGAGATAGTAATGAGTAGAGATACTATATATCTCATAAATTAGAAAACCAATACATAATCATTCCAAATGAAATAAACATGCAAGAGAAAAGATGAATTACAATTGTGAAGGAGGCAAATTCAAGTTGAAAAGTTTCTACCCAAATATATTCTAGTTTTGTGTATCAGCTGTAAAATATTTAAGAGCCCACACTCTATTACATCACAACATTGTTTATTATGTGAATTTTTTACAATACAAACAAAAAAAATACAGAAATGCAATATATGAATACAGCTAAATGCAGAATGGTGACGTTTTTTCTTTTCAAGAGGCCATGATTCTCATTTCTAGTAAAATAAAGAGACGGCACATAGGTAGAAATAGGTTGGTCGTTAGCTTCACAATTTTGCCTAGAAATGATCTATAAATGCATTTTTCCCCCTGCTACTTACCATAAAGTGTAAAAAGGGAATTAAAGGAAAGTTTCCTTGTTGGTTTCTACCATATGAAAGATGCTATATTCTATTTTTAGCAGGGCCAATATATGGAAAATACCTAAATAAAATGTTATTAAAAAATGAAGCAGTAATGAGATTCTGGCTAAAGAGGGCACTAAATGAGAATAACATATATTTAAAGAATCCAAAACAAACAAATAAACAAAAAAAGGTTGTTATAAAAAAGCTCTAGGTGCATTGTAAGCATATAGGATTTTTTTTTTCCATGTGTATTTTTAAACAATGGAAGTGTCAAAAAATAGGGTCAACTGTGTTAGACTAAATTACATTATTGTATACGCTGTACTGAATGGAACCTTTGTATTATAATTATCATAGAGAAGCATAGTTTGCATCATATTATGGCAATTTATCCTCAATGAATACCTTCCAGAGTCCTTTTATTTTGGAATATCCTGTAAACAATCAAACCACCAGAACATGATTGTACAACTGTAAAATGTTTTCTTGCATTAAATTGAAGACATCTGTTTAATAAAAAAACAAAAACCAAAAACCAAAACAAAATAAAAAACAAAAAACAAAATGTAGGAAAGGTACTTAGAGCTGTTAGTTTCTAAGTACACAACACCCAGACAATTCAAGGCATCTTAATCTCCATCAAGAACAAAAAAATAATAATTTTTGTCATGCTGTTAAATCCATCATTAAGGATAAAACTGGTGCAAATTGGTCAAACGGATCCAACAAACACTGATGTCCAAGCTGGCATATTGGCAACTAATACGTAACTGGTGGTCAATAGAGGGTTTAAAAGATCTTCCCTTTCTTCTTGTTCTTTTCCAAGGTTCTAAATGGTTAAAGGAAAATAATCAAAATGAGTAGCCATGTTATAAACATTACAGACAATACATAATAGTATCAATGGCTAATCCAGCTACAATTGTGTTAGATTTTTCCAACACTACTTTTTTTTTTTTTTAAGATTTTATTTATTTGACAGACAGAGATCACAAGTAGGCTGAGAGAGAGGAGGGAAGCAGGCTCCCTGCCGAGCAGGGAGCCCTATGCGGGGCTGGATCCCAGAACCGTGAGATCATGACCTGAGCCGAAGACAGAGGCTTTAACCCACTGAGCCACACCCAGGCACCCCGCAACACTACTTTTTTATTTAAAAAATTAAAAGGGGTGGCTGGATGGCTCAGTCAGTTAAGTGTTATTGGATTCTTGATTTCGGCTCAGGTCATGATCTCAGGGTTGTGAGACTGAGCTCCATGTCAGACTCTGCACTGGCTGTGGAGCCTGCTTAAGATTCTCTCTCCCCCTCTGCCCTCCCCTCCCCCTGCTCTCTTTCTCAAAAGTAAATAAAGAAATAAAACTTAAAAAAATAAAAAAAAATAAGGTTTAGAAGTGAATATTGAGGACAATGCAAACCTATAACAACTGGATATTTGACCAAATTTCAGGATAAACAGTAAACACAGGACAAAAACCCATTTTTAATGCATGAGAACAATTCTTTCCAAATGAAATAGTGCAAATTGAAAAATATCAACTAACATCAAATACAGTATCCTTTTCTTTTACTGCCATTTGAATTTTGCATTATGTTTGCTTTTACCAATAGATTTTCCTCTTTGCAGGGGAAAAGTTAATAGAAGGACAATGTTACAGAACAAGTATCTAACCCTGAAAATATTTAACAGTGAGGGTAAACTGTAGAATTCTTACAGGGATACAACTTTTCAGTTTTTAATGGGACTAACAAGAAAAAGAACAAGTCAAGGTACAAATATTACTGAGTTTTGTGTAAACTAAGAAAAAGTAACTGATTAGCTGTATTTGGAATTAGAGATCCAAAATTTTATCTTAAGAAATAACTTTTATCCTAAAGAAATAATTCAGTACAACTAGGGGTAAAACATACCCCTAAATGTGTAAAAGATCTTTGTAGCAGTGTTTTCTATGCTTGCTAATGATCGAACACAACTATTTTGTCCAATACTTGAAGGGAGGAGATAAGAAATTGATTATGGTAAGTCACTTAGGGAGAATGCTATGAAGCTATGAAATCATAATTATGAAGCCTGTTATGTCATGGAAAATATTTGTAATGAAAAGAAATACTGTTAGAGTAGACAGATTGCATCCATCTATTAAAAATATTCATCCATGAAATTAACTGTGCTTGGGTGATGGGTGAGGTCTTTATTTATTTATTTAGTATTTATTTATTTGAGAGAGCCAAGGACTTTATTTAGTTATTTGAGAGAGCTCAGGAGCCAAGGGAGTCTAAAGCGGGACTCCATCCAGGATCATGACCTGAGCAGAAGGCAGGCATTTAACTGACTGAGCCCCCTAGGGACCCTGAGTAAGGTCTTTTAAAATAAACAAGATAGGGCGCCTGGGTGGCTCAGTGGGTTAAGCCTCTGCCTTTGGCTCAGATCATGATCTCCGGGTCCTGGGATTGAGCCCCGCATCGGGCTCTCTGCTCAGCAGGAAGCCTGCTTCTCCCCTCTCTCTGCCTGCCTCTCTGCCTACTTGTGATCTCTCTAATAAATAAATAAAATCTTTAAAAATAAATAAATAAACAAGATAATAACTCATTAAAACATTAATATACATATTTCTTAGGAATCTGAAATTAATTACCTGGAAGAGTTCTGTTGTTCTAAAATACGTTGTTGGGCTTCCCAGTTTGCTTTCTCGTCTTCAAACTGACGACGTTTTTCCTCTAATTCTTTGTGCTGTGCTTCCAAATTCTTTTTCATTTGCTCATGGCGCCTTTGGAGCTAAATCATAGCACAATATGTAAAATGAAGTTGTTTAAGATATCAGGAGCAGAAGTATGTTTCACCCAGGCCTTCTAATGTTAATAAGCACTGAGTTCTTTTGCTATAAATTCAGAATACCACCTGGAAGGTGTTGTCTAGGATTTCTCCTTCTGTAGGACTTGCCACCCTAAAGGCCAGTGACCCAAGAGAATAATTATGGGAAATGGGGAAAAAAAAAAGTGCTACAAGTTTATAGTTGTGTTGAGCTTTACAATGGACATATTCTATCTTATTTATCATCTCATCTTTCACTACCCATAAGCATGAAGAAACAAGGCAAGGAAAACATCACTGTCCTCACTGTACAGGTGAACAAAGAGTCGCAGAATGTTAAGTCACTTGCCCAAGATCATTAGCCAGAATACTGAAAGAACCAGGATTGAACTGGTCTCCTCATTCCAAGTTCAGAAAGCTGAGACAAGTGGAAAGAAAGCAGGTAGATAAGGACTTAAAGGGCATCAAGATCACAGTAAGCCTCCCCAATTCCTATAAAGCAGTGGTTTCTCAAATGTTAGTCTTCATACAAATCACCAAAAGTGCTTGCTCAAAATACAGAATACCGGACCTCACCCAGACATACTGAATTAGAATCTTTGAGTGTTAAGACTAGAAATCTGCATTTTCAACACACCCCAGTGATTCCAGTACAGGTATTTTTCCTACATTGAGAATTAATGCTGTAAAGAATGCCAGCTTAGAAGTAGAAACACTCATGCAAGGTAGTAACCACAGAAACAAAGAGCTTATCTAATGGTTCCTTAAATAATTTCATTTAGGCACTAGTCAACCTGTTTCTGAAGAAAATAGTTACACCAATTTAAAAAAAATCAGATTGAATCTAAATACACTTAATACCTGAAAACTATTCAACCTTCAGATGTCCAGGAATCATATTCTATTAATGATCATATTACATCAGTGAGTTAACATCTTAAATTTGGATGATAGTAAAATTCTGCATATATAATTTGTTTTCTCAATTATTTCTCAAATATTTCTCAATTATTTTGTAAACTACAAATTTTGTAAACTTCATAATTATTCTTACTGCAAAAATTTCATACAATTCCTACAAAACCATCTAAGATTAATGCAAACAAACATGACTCAAATTTGAGATACCATCTTCCTGATTATAGCAAACAAGTTACTAAGAAAATATCAAAAATAGGAACACAGGAAAATGTCTCTAGTTATCAAAAAAAAAAAAAAAAGCAAGGGAAACATAAACACATGATTCACAACAGTTACTTCAGAGGAGGAGGGAGAGAACTACTATAGGGGAGAGTTACAAAGGTTAGAATGTTAAAATGAACTAACGAGGTCTTATTTTTTAAGCTGGGTGGTTAAGTTCACAGGTATTCATCATTCCTTACCTGTGTATTTCTGTTACATATAAGTATCTTTTGTGTTAACTGCATGTAGGTAAAAAGTATAGGTTACAAGCCCTCTCAAAGGACTGTCAGGGATTAGAAGTCTTAACAAAATTCTGACTTTTTCAGATTTTAGAAAGGCATTATTACTTAGAAAAGTATATAAACTACATTTATAAAACACCTCCTGGGCTATCTAGGATAGCACTTATCTTAGCATCAAACACATTATTATTTTTTGCAGTAAATTTTATAATATTCACATCAAGTGGAATAAAACAATTAGTTCTATGTTTGGTTTTACAGTTTTCAGAGCTTATTAAGATTTAGGATTTGAAACTGTGGATACATGATTGTGGACTTATCTAGTGATTAAGAGCAAACTTAAAGAATTAATGGGTTCAACTTACAACAATATGCGCCACTGACATAGTTAGTTTATCCTTCCTCTTATGTATAAAAAGGGAGATGGACAATAGTATCTACCTCATAGGGTTATGGTGTGGATCTAATGACACAATACATTAAGAATGCTTACTACTGTGCCTGATGCACTGTGCTACCGGATATTAACAGCTGTGCCCTAAAGAAACATATCTAACACTAATGACCTTGAAAAAAAACTGTATTACACAAGGTTAAACAGGTCTCTTCACCTATATATTTATATACTTATATGACTAACAGTATTAGGGGAAACTTGGCAGATCTCTTTACAGGTTCTTCGAATGCTAAGAAAGATTTCATCCTTCAAAGAGTAAAGTTTCTCAAAACTGTTATCACCACTCACAAAAATCATAAAATTCTTGAAGGGTTTTTCAGCTAGTTTCACAATTATTTGTTTATAACATTTACTCTTGGGAGCAGTTTCTAAAATATGTCTATAGCAAATGTAAATTCAACTACTTTTAGATTTTCAACGAAATCTAAGTGTAGAGGTAATACAGACTCTCGATTATTCCTGTTTTTATTCCCCTCTCTTATAGATTTTCCAGATTATTCACTCGTTAGTGAAAGGGCAAAAACTCAAACGGACAGAATCAATAAAAGGCTGATAAGTAAAAAGACTAAAATTAATCCCTAAAATGTCATCTTATTAATAACAGATGCTAGGGATCCTATTCCTGCAATGCTTTGCAGTCTCAAACCAGAAGGAAGTATTCCATATCTTTGCTGCATTGAGTTTATGACAAATTTAACAACAGTCAAAGTGGCTATTTTTTTTTTTTCAAAGTAAGAGATCACAGGTAAAGCCTAGTAATTTGAGAGTAATCTAATGTGGAATATAAACATTTCCTCCAAATTACTCAATATTTTACTCACTCCATGCATTTTATTTAGTGGATTAAAATACTTCTGGTTATTTAGTCAAAGAGGGTTTCAGTATTTTATGCAATAATTACAAAAGCAATGAGATCAACCATAAGAACATAAACAAAATAGATCTAAATCCCCTTTTAATATACTTAGATACAAATAATATTAATGGAGCCACATATGAACACAAGGATCTCACTGAATTTTAACATTAAAGGTCATTTTAAAAATATTTCATATTAATATCTATCAAACCAACTATTACTCGATTCTCATGTTATTTTTTTCCTCCATCTTTCACTTCTTGAAGGAAGCGTGAGGAAATGTCTTCCAGGTCTTTCTGATTTATAGACACTAAATGTATGACTCAACATCCAAGGTAGTAGATAAGCTTGCTAGGATGCTTTGTCACTATTCTACCAATGTGCTAACAATGGCAATTACTCTGACACTATATTACAAATATGCCCAACTCATTTACAACAATATCACCTTCCTTCTATTTTCTCCCCTTTGGCAGTCTATAATTTATCCTGGCAAGCGCTTAGCTCAGTTAAAGTTCTTTCTTTCATTTTCTCATTCATATGCAAATAACTCTGATTTATTATTATAATTCTCATACAAGCTTTTATTCTTACAACCACCCAAAACCCTTGATCTTTACTCTTTTTACCTTGAATACAAAAAATAGTTTATAATTTCATTTCTCATAATTTGCTCATTAAAACTGATAATTCATTGTAAGTATTCTATTTTATCTTCCTAATAATATTTATGGCCAAACACTTACATATTGAAGTATATGTTATTATAAACAAAGTGCTTCCTTTTATTTCTCCATCTTATTACGTTAGGTCATTATATTAAATTTGGGAAAACATGTGTAGAAAGGTTTTATTATCTATACTAATAAAGATATTATTATTTTAAAAAGAAATAATGTGTCTGCAAGATGAAAATGTTAGGCTAATTACCTCAGCTTCTGAATCCTTCAGTTTTTGAACTTTTTCTTTGACCTTCATCTCAAACACCTGTTCCATCTCCATCTCCATCTTCTTCATCTTAGCTACATGCTCCCTTCTTTCTTCTTCCATTTGTGCAAGAGGGCTCCTGTTGTGAACATTAAGGATAAACATCAGAAGTCAAAATACTAATTCAATACAAAACTCTGAAACAGTGATGAAACAAATAATATGCTGAATTCCACTACTAAATTCTGATTTTTGAAAGTAAGTTTTAAAATAATTTTTCAATTATTCTAACACCATCTTAAATGACATAGAACACAGATTTGAAGTTTTATATATAAATGCATTAAAAATTCTTTAGAAGCTTTACAATTTATAAATACTTATAATCTAGAATTTCCTTCCATAAAGTTTTATATTTAAACCTGGATCTCTAACAAATAATTACTATGAAAATGGATATAAAAACAAACTGTTGGGGTGCCTGGGTGGCTCAGTGGGTTAAAGCCTCTGCTTTCGGCTCAGGTCGTGGTCCCAGGGTCCTGGGATCTAGCCCCACATCAGGCTCTCTGCTCAGCAGGAAGCCTGCTTCACTTCCTCTCTCTCTGCCTGCCTCTCTGCCTACCTGTGATCTCTGTCAAATAAATAAATAAAATCTTCAAAAAAAAAAAAAAAAAAAGCTATTAGCAGAATGTTGCTCCTAACCTAGTGCGTATCAAATCTAGAGATGACATAAAATAAACTTTAGAAGGAAAATGGAAAGGAACCGTTTCCAAATTATACTCACAAAATGGAAAATAAGAAGAAAATCATTTAATTTTGCACTTTAAACAAAATTTTAATATGAAAATTTTAATATGAAAAAAGGAACCAAGCTAATTAAGTTAATACATGTAGACTATTTTTAGCTCTATAAATTTCTAAGTGTTATAATCTCTTTTGTAACAACTACTGACATCACTATTATAAGTTAATTAACACTAATTCAAACTTATTTTTATTTATTTTATTTTTTCAGTGTTCCAAGATTCATTATCAAACTTATTTTAGTATCTGAATTACCATGTTGGAAATACTACCTACCAATCAATCCCTAGAAAGTTTTTCATTTAGGTATGCAGAATTTCCAGGCCATTTACAGTAATTTCACTGCTCATGAAATTCATTCCACCTAACTCAAATATTTCATTGTCCTTTTTGTTTTATTTTAAAAAGATATTTGGTGATAAAACACATACACAGATGATATATAAGAGAGAGAATCAGAAGCAAACAAATATGCTGATAATTATTTCTGAAATGCTGGAAAACAGACATAAACATAGTTAAATGAAGTATTTCACTCTACTGACATTAAAGTCCACAGGCTCAAATCTCTGCACAATTTTGTTTCTGTTTATTTTATTTTATTTTATTTTATTTTATTTTATTTTATTTTATTTTATTTTATTTTATTTATTTGATAGAGACACAGCAAGAGAGGGAACAAAAGCAGGGGGAGTGGGAGAGGGAGAAGCAGGCTTCCCACTTAGTAGGGAGCCCAATGTGGGGCTCCATCCCAGGACCCGGGGATCATGACCTCAGCTGAAGGCAGACACTTAACAACAGAGCCACCCAGGTGCCCTGAAATCTCTGTACAATTTCGATCAAAATTTTCATGTTGAAAAATATTCCAAATGAGTTTTATCTTAAGGCTAGTATACTTAAAGAGACAAAAGTGAATGCCAAAGTATCAGTAATTCACTATAGTCCCACGGAGGAAAGAAACCTGTGCTCCCTGAGGATCTTTGAAAACTATTCAACACCTAAGACAACTTAAAAGAGACATGCCCTCTTCTGACTTTGTTGATAAACATGTTTATTTTGCCTTCACATCAACAGGCTTTGACCACTGATGGGACCACTGAATTGCACATTTTAAATTGGTGAATTTTATCTCAGTAAAGCACTTTAAGAAATTAAATCGTGGCTTACAAACAAAAACAAAATCAGGCCTTGGATTTCACCTATAACTTCTAAGGTTAGTCACTTTAATTCTGAGGTGACATACTTTGATTATGGTAGACTTCTCTCCTAATGAGGCTGAGTATTCTTTTTTTTCTTTATTGTAGCTAAGTATTTTTACAGCACGCTTCTTCTGTATCAAGGAGGAGGACTAGAGAGCCAGATGGGATATATTAAATAAGAGCAACAGGACAGAACATTGGCTACTGATTTTTCTTAGCAAAAAGGGAGGACAAAGATCACTGCTGTGATCAAGATCTGTTTTTGCAATTAGTGTAAATTTGAATAAAATGTTAACTAAAGGATATTTCTTCACCAAAAGTAAACTTACAAACCTGCAGTATATTTTAACAATTAAGCAATTAATCAGAGGTTCTGAAAATGAAACTAAACCAAATATTAACTTAAAACAAAAATCTGCATTCAAAAAGTGAGGTCAACTAAAATAAACTTTTAAATATAAACATCATTATTTCATTAAAAGTTAGGGGCCTTCCTCATAACATAGTTCTCATCTTTATGGCAGATGTTTTTAATATAGGGGCTTCCAATCTCTTTGGCAGAACTCTGAATGAATCCCCTGAAATGACATACCAAATCTGTGTGTCCATGCAAGCATTTTTCTGGTGAGAAGGTCCAAAGCTTTTGTTAGACTTTTAAAGAGTCTTTTATAAACCTTACTTCTCCCACCCCTCAAAACATTTTAAACTCTAGAAAAGAAATAATCTAATAACTATTTTTTCAGTTGACAGTGTTAATTGAGTATGTATGTTTAAGCAAAAGAGATTATCCAATAATATTGTTGCAATTTGAAAACACAGCTCAAAACTGTAAATATATTAAATAAAAGAGAATTTCAGAGTGATCTTAAAATTTTATATTCTTACTTATAATACTCTATAAAATGTTTATTTAATTTTATCCTTGGAAGGAGGAGGCAATCATTTAAATATAAAGAATTTATCATATAATTTGCACATGAAAAGGGCACCAACTAACCAAAAGTAAACACTGTCATCTTGATTTTTATTTAAAGAACTCCAAGAAAATAGAAGACTCCAGACAATAGGCTATGTTTTGAAATTTGGTTTTAAATTCAAAATTTAAATATTAAAAATCTCTACATCATAAACCTGAGTAAGTCTTTGGGAAACAAAGACTTACATGCCTTCAACTGTGTCATATCTAAGAGAACATAAAAGAGAGACTTAGAACACTTACAGTAATCCACACTAAAAGCAATAATTAAAGGCAAATTCAGAGATTTTACAATTGAGTAATTAAGGTCTGTGCCCTAAAATATTGTTTATGGCAAAATTTATTTATTTATTTATTTAAGATTTTATTTATTCATCTGACAGACAGAGATCACAAGTAGGCAGAGAGGCAGGCAGAGAGAGAGGAGGAAGCAGGCTCCCTGCTGAGCAGAGAGCCCTATGCAGGGCTCGATCCCAGGACCCTGGGATCATGACCTAAGCCGAAGACAGAGGCTTTAACCCACTGAGTATGGCAAAATTTATTAAAGCTAATTAATTTCTTTCCCAAAATTCTATTAGTAATTACTATACCAAATCATTATGAAAATAAAATGCTGTGCAATTATCTTCTGACAGCCTGCTCAGATTTCTAGACCTATTTAAATATGTGTACTTTCAAAAAAATTTTGCAGAATTTCATATTGAGATACTTTAAGTTGTTCAGCCTTGTCAAAATATTTGACTCCTGGGGCGCCTGGGTGGCTCAGTGGGTTAAGCCGCTGCCTTCGGCTCAGGTCATGATCCCAGGGTTCTGGGATCGAGTCCTGCATCGGGCTCTCTGCTCAGCAGGGAGCCTGCTTCCCTCTCTGTCTCTCTGCCTGTCTCTCTGTCTACTTGTGATCTCTCTCTGTCAAGTAAATAAATAAAATCTTTAAAAAAAAATTAAAAAAAATATTTGACTCCTGACCAAATGAAATGATATTCCAGTGTTTAAAAAAGATAGTCATATATATATATGTTTAAAATGGATTTTTTGAAGCCTCTCACCAGTAAACATCTTTCAAATCCCTTTAATTTTTAAATTAGCCCCTCATTTCTAGTCATCTTTATTAAAGTGTTATTTAAAAAACTGTAATACAAATTTATGCTTACAATGTAGAAAACACAAAGAAGGGTCATTTTTTTCATCAATTAAACATTTTTTTCCAAATAAAACTTTTTACTAGACGGCTGCAAAAAGCATTTAATTATATTATAGCCTAACTGCTTTTTAATGGAAACTTCTTTACACACATAGATAGGCTAAAGCTTATACACTTAAATTTCTCTGAGAAATTTAAAACAACTCTGCCAAAGAAATGAAAAGGCCTGGTAAAAAAATAAAAAGAAACAGAAAGGTATAACATAACCTGCATATCTCGCTAAATTCACAAAGATTTAATGTGACTCCTTCTAGGGATCACTTTAAAGGGTTATAGTTCTTGAAAGCCACCAGATGACTCACCCTTTCATGTGAAAAACAGCAAAATCACAATAAGGACCACACAAGGTTGACCTAGTAAGGTTCTAACAGCGGTTGTGTTATACAACCCACATTTTGAGTATAACAGAAGACAACCACATTTCACTTAGATTATGTGTGGTCTTTCCTGAAGAACACATTAAACAAACACATTCACATACTTTTTCTCCAATGGTTAGTAAGGCCACTATGTACACAGACATGTAGCAACTTTCATACAAAAATTTTCAAAGGAATTTCACTTAGATTTCAAAGAGCAATAAAAATTTCCGAAATTTTGGGAAAAAATACCAACACTTCATTTTGCCAAGTGAAAGCATTAGAGCCAAACATAAAACAATACTCATTATATTTTCATGAAAGGACACTTTAACAAACAGTAAAAGATACAATTGAATAAATATAATTTTTTGAAAAAACTTCGGAAAATTTCAGAAAATTGTCTTTATTTCTCTTTCAATGAAAACTGTATTGTACCAAAAGAGTGCAGAGAATCAGCTTTTGGAAACCTGTATTTTCAGTCATTTCTAGGAATCTGTTATCCACAAAAGTTTCCCCAAGCTTACAAATGGAGTAAACTATACAAAACAGAAAAATAACATATGGGAAAGAGGTAACAGGGTATGCCCAACTTGGAACAAGACACCAACTGTCATAACTGGTGCCAATGATAGACAACAGTTCATAAAAGAGTCGCCAATCAAATGTGATTTTAAGTAAAAAATACAAAAGAAGACCAAGGAAGGAAGAACTTGAAGAAGCAAGTTTATCATAACCAATACTAAATAAATAAATAAATAATAGTAAGTTTACCTTCCCCTTATTGGAGGGTCACCTTCCTTTAAGAGATCTACCATCTGGATATTGCTAATTCTTCTTCCTTTTCCTTTACAATCCCTTGCTGAATCTTCTTTGACCTGGAACTTCACCTCCCTTTCTTTACTTCCAATTGCCTACCACCCTCCATACTCTCTAGTCAGGGATGAACAAGATACACACTCCCTGAAGATTTAACAAGTATTTAAATTGGTGACTTGATATTTTCTTTGCCAGATACAGACAGTACCTGAATAGCTGCTAGAAAAATGCCATCTTCCAGATTTGGCCTTGAGGCAAATTAGTATTTGATGAGAGAAACTCAGCTACTTTCCAGATTTTTACCAAATCTGCTCCTTGGTTTCTTTCCAGCTTTACTGAGATATAACTGATATATAATACTGTATAAATTTAAGATGTACAATGTGATGTCTAAATCTTGTTTTAGCGTCCTGCCACAATAAAATCATTCTAGGACCACTAACCTAACAGAAAGGCACATTTTCAGATATACAAACCAAGTATCTTTACCCACTATTCAGTTTATTCTACAGTCCGTCCAAAACTGCCTCAGAAAATTAAATATAAGATTCATTAATGGAGTGACTGGGTGGCTCAGTTGGTTAAGTGTCTGCCTTCAGCTCAGGCCATGATCTCAGAGTGCTGGGATCAACTCCTGCATCAGGTTCCCTGCTCTGTGGGGAGTCTGCTTCTCCCTTTTCCCCTGCCATTCATTCTCTCAATCTCTCTAATAAATAAATAAAATCTTTAAAAAAAATAAAAAGATTCATTGACCTAGTTTACTACCTAGTGCTTAATTGTGATTAACACTTTGTAGAGTATAAACAGCCATACAAAGATTAATAAAACTAAATTTTTAAAGGATTTGTATATGTGTAAATATTAGATGAGGACAATTTAAAAAACAGGTCCACTAGCAATCAGTAGATAAATGACCTTATGATCAATTTTATTTCTTCCTCAAATTGCCTGCAGATGCTATTTAGAGACTACACAAAGTGATAAAATGACCACCTTTCTTTTTTTAAGGACCAGAGATTGTCTAGGTCAGTGGTCTTCAAACTGAGGTCTCTATTTATATCAAGTATTCCAAGAGTTACTTAAGTCTGTGCAATTTTAAGAGACTCAATTTCCAGATCCTCAACTTCCATACAAAGTCTTGCCTAAAGTGATCTGCCTGAAAATTTCCAAGTTACAGATAGCCCATTTCTCACTTTACAGAAGGAAGACCTACCCCCTCCTAACCAGCCCTTATCTGAGATGCACTGTGCCAGGTGTATCTGAAGGTGTGAAAACCTCCAGGTGACAGGAGAGCAGTCTCCTTCAGTGATTAATCAAAGTACTATAATATAATCCTACAGTGTGTCTGTATCTCCCAATATTAAACATGCTTCTATTAAGGGCTACCTGTGATATTAGAAATGCAGTATTTGGGTCCATGCAGGGATGTTCTGAGCTCAGATTCATAGTAGAGGGAGGTGGCTGGACAAGTGGCAGTTTTTGTTTAATGACCCTGCCTCTTCCATTCCAACCCCCCCAACAACCTCAACCTGTCTGTGTCAAAATTATCAAAGGACACATTGCTATGGAGGGAAGAGTCCCTTGAGAGCAATACAACTAGAATATCACTAAGAAGCCTAAACTCACATTTATTTTTATCACATATTTAAATAATTGCCATTCTTTTCAGTTACTCAGGGATGAATCCTTAGCTTATAACACTTTAACAGCAGCTAAAGCACCTTAAGTTGTTGATACTGATTTAAACAACAAAAAATTCAGCTGAAATGCTTTATGAAATTGCTAACATTTTCAAGATAATATAAGATACAACCAACAGATAAAACTTCCAAGTGACTTCTTCCAGATTCAGCGAGTTATTCAATAAAGTAGTAAAAAGCTAATGTAATAAATCATATCAATATCTATTCTAATCATGCCATTCTCCATTTGGTTCAATCTTTAAAGATACTTTTCTACTTACTATTAACACAAAATAATATACTAACTCCTAGAGCAATTTGCTTTTTAGCAGTATAAACATTTTCATAGACAAAGTCTGAACATGATTCATCTCATTAAGAAACACATTTCCAATAGTAGTCTATTTTTTACATTTCTACCTGGGTTATATAGTTTAACTCAAGTAAACCACACTGGAATTCTATTTATTCAAAAGAATTTTTTTTTTTTAAGATTTTATTTATTTACTTGACAGAGGGAGAAAGATCACAAGTAGGCAGAGAGGCAGGCAGAGAGAGAGGAGGAAGCAGGCTCCCTGCCGAGCAGAGAGCCTGACGTGGGGCTCGATCCCAGGACCCTGGGATCATGACCTGAGCCAAAGGCAGAGGCTTAACCCACTGAGCCATCCAGGCGCCCTATTCAAAAGAATTTTTAACAATACTGTATGGTTTACTATTTTTCTCTGAATCCAGTAACAGAAATACCGCAATAGCACTATTTTAAAAGCCTTATATTTGAAATATGGAAACAAATAATTATTTGTAGGACATGAAAAAATGTGTAGAAGGAAATAATCAAACATTAACTGCACACATTTAATGAATAATAGGAACTGACAGTACACATTTCCTTTTCACATATAAAAATTACTGGTGGCTTTAACCACCCATGTTTTTCTTCTAAACAGTTAAAAAGTCCGTAAGCTAGTGAAATGCATTTAAAATGGATTAGGAGGGGCGCCTGGGTGGCTCAGTGGGTTAAGCCTCTGCCTTCGGCTCAGGTCATGATCCCAGGCTCCTGGGATCGAGCCCCGCATTGGGCTCTCTGCTCAGCAGGGAGCCTGCTTCCTCCTCTCTCTCTCTGCCTGCCTCTCTGCCTACTTGTGATCTCTGCCTGTCAAATAAATAAATAAAATCTTTAAAAAAAAATGGATTAGGAAATTATGAACAATATTTACTATGATGGATCCTTATGTTTTTGTGCTAAATAAAGTTGCCTGATATAAATTTTGCTAAAAAGAAACAGATAAAAGTCCTTTACTCATGCACTGACCTTACTTCAAATAGAATCTTGTATTTTAAATATAAACACATTGTTGAAATATTAACCAAATAAGTTTTTAAAACAGCAGTAACAAATTCGTAAAAGTAAGCATTTTGCAAAGCATACACTGACGAATCACCTGTATCAAAACCATACAGGGTGCTTATTAAAAATGCAAGCTCTCAGGTCCATCCCACATCTACAAAGTCACAATCTCTTGCAGATCATTGAAACCAGAAAACTTAGGAATTGATCAGTAAAGTTCCTCAAATATAAGCATGTTAATAACATATGGAGAAATTCAAAGTTAAGTAACAGTATGAGAAGAAATCTAATTCAAAGAGTCTATGACTCCAATATCATTAGAAAAATATAGAAGGAAATAAACATAGAATTAGATCTAAGATCAATTTTAAAAGAGAACTGTTTGTGACTGCTAGTCCCTCTTAATGCTTTGTTTGCTTTCTTCTGGAATCTGAGCCATTGTGGAGACATAACTGAAAAAGAAAAAAGGAACACTCTTCTTTTCCATTATAAGGAATGCTGACCACTATAAAACACGGTACTATACTGCTACTTTACAAAACTTGCCCTCTTCATTATTTGTACAGAGGATCCTTCAGGATTATCCTCTAATAGTAGATAACATCTGGCTACAAATGTACACACATTGTTAAAATGGTCTGCATAACGCTTATGATCTTTAACAGTCCCTAATAAAGGAAAAATGGAGCACAGGTACTGTTATCAAGAATTATACAGGCCTACTCACAGCCCTCCTCACACATCTCATTTTCCTACCCTACCATAAACCACCATAGCTTGATATATATACTAGCTTAGGAGGGTAAAGCTACACACTTGTCAGTCACTCACCCTACCTTAACAACCAAGAGAAGAAATCTAAACTCAAGCTAATTTACTCCCTAGAAATACAGAATAGGAATGGAAAAGGTAACCAAGACTACAGTCACCTAAATATTGCTTTTGTTTGGTCCTGTCCCTTGTTTCTATACAATGTTACTGAAAACTCTGCTACTAAAATGGTTTATTCAAAACAGACATAATAAAAGGTAAAAGCTCTGTATTTAGTCTCCTTAAAGAGAGTATAGAATGTTCATCTTAAAAGTAAAATGGGTTAAGAGATCTAGGTTGTAACTGTTCTCTTCCCTTAAAAAAAAAAAAAAAGTGTACTTGCACCCCTACATTTATACCAGCATTATCTACAACAGCCAAGATATTGAAGCAGCCCAAGTGTCCATCCATAGATGGACATCCATGTCCATTGTAATACATACAAATGAATGGATAAAAAATATATTTAGGGGTATATTATTCAGTCATAAAAAAGAATGGAATTTTGCCATTTGCAACAGTAGAGATGGAGCTAGAGGATTTAATGCTAAGCAAAGTCAGTCAGTTAGAGAAAGACAAATACTTCATGATGTCACTCATATGCAGAACTTAAGAAACAAAACAAATGAGCAAAGGGAAAAAGACAATAAAAGAGAGATTGAGAGAGATAAACCAAGCAACAAACTCTAAACTACAGAAACAAACTGATAGTTTACCAGAGGAGAGGTGAGTGGGGGGTTGGGTGAAATAGGTGATGGGGATTAAGGAGTGCACTTTTCATGATAACACCAGGTGATGCATGCGATTGTTGAATCACTGTATTGGACATCTGACATGAATATAACACTGTATGTTAACTAATTGGAAATAAAATAAAAACTTTAAAAATGTATTTGCAAAAGGAGCCATTTGATTTCTAATTGGGGATCTATTAAATGTGTGGTGTACAAACATGATGGCAAATGACCAGAAGAGAATTCACGGCTCTTTCACCTAAGGAACAAGGTAATAAAACACTTTACTGTGACAAACAGTAAAATATAAAACTGCCAAAACAAAGCTTAACAATAATAAATTTTAGCTATTGTGCATAAAGAATATTGTCCCAATTTTCTATTGAGTAGCCAAGAAGAATTTGATGAAGATGAAACAATACGATTACTACATAAATGATACCTTTTCTGGAGGACATAATGTATACTTACTTGGTAAGCTGCCCTTTATTCTTGTTATTATCAACTCCATTATAAGTCACAGCTGCCAGTTTTCTGCTCCGGTAGTTCTCATAGTGGACATTATTAGTGACATCTTTCAAGTCCTGCATGTGTGTTCTGTCATAAATAAATAACATATGAACAGTTTGCTTCTATGAAAAAAGCTTTGATTTAATTCAAAACTTTATCAAAACAAAAATTCTAGACTTAAAACAAGCAAAAGACTATTCTTAAGGAAGAGAATTCCTGTCTTCATTTACGCTCAAGTCGGAGCAAGATACAACACGCTAAACTTGAAACCAATGGACAGTCAGGTTCCAAATGAGAGTTTAAGAGTTCTAAATCTTCTCAAAGCAGTTACTAAAGGATGGCATTTCCTCAGAAAAGTTTTTATAGTACATAGTATATATTTATTTTACTAGAGAAAGGAGATTAGCTCTTGCCGAAACTCTTAAAACTGGTTGTCTTTATTATTATTTGAGTTTTTAACTAAGGTAACACATAGGAACACTTTAGATTACATAACAAGTTGAATTCAAACTGAGGAAAATAATTTAAAGTAAATCTGTTTCTTTAAACTGTTCAGTGAAATGAATTTTACTCATGTATTTCTATCATATATAAAATCAACACATATATGAAATAAATAACATGAAACATGAGACAATTTTCTCATTCCCTGAAGATTCTAGAAGCTAAAGACACGCTGAGCTGCTCTATGATATCCTTTACCAAATCAGGGAAAGGACACACCTGGAGGGGCAGTACTCTGTATTGTCTGATTCTCCCTTTTCTCATATCATCCATGCCTGCCTCCACCATCCTCCACCTCCCTTACAGAAAACGAACAAAAAAGTGTACTTTTTCTTTTTGTTTGCCTGTTTGTTCGTTTATTTAAAAGTAGGCTTCATGCTCAGTGTGGAGCCCAGCACAGGGCTTGAACTCATGACCCTGAGATTAAGACCTGAGCTAAACTGGAGTCAGACGGACACTTACCTGACTGAGCCACCCAGGAGCCCTGAGGTGTGCTGTGTTTTTACTCTCTCTGATATCCAGAAAACATTTACTATTACTTTCCCTTTGTGAACAGAATGTGATTTTCAATTACTCTATCTCCTATTAATAGACAATTTCAAGCAGTTCTCTGATAGTTGACTCATCCGATGGAGTACTTTAAGTCCGGGGTTTCCAACAAGTCTCATGTTCATTTATGCTCTGTTCCTTGATGAATTTATCTTCTCCATGGCCACTATTTCTTTCCACTTCAGTCAAGTCAGGCAGCTCCTTATTCCTAGCATATCCAACTGGCTGAGACTGAATAGCTCATGCTAATTTGTCACTGATTCTTCAAACTTAAGAGTGCCATTACTTTGAAAGCTCTCTTTCCAGCCTTGAAATCAAGTCACTCTAATCCGTGACAATTTTCTCCTTGGTTGTCAGCCATTTTTGGGGTTAGGGTCATAAAACCTCTTAAGTTTTACTGTAAGCTCCCTTTTATAAGAAGCATTTTTGCCATCACTTCTTGTACTCTTGATACAGATAGCACATAATAGGCCCTTAAGGGGCACCGGGGTGGTTCAGCTGGTTAAGCATCTACCATTATCAACTCAAGTCATGATCCCAGGATCCTGGGATTGAGCCCCTCATCGGGCTCTCTGCTCAGTGTGCTTCTCCCTCTCCCTTTGCCTGATGCTCTGCCTACTTATGCCCTGTCAAATAAATAAATTTAAAAAAGAAAAAATCTTAAAAAAAAAAATGGGTCCTTAACCAGTAATGAAGTATTAAACTTGAGGTAAGATAAATATTTTATTTTCTGGAATAAGTTACTGTTACCACCTTCTCTAAGTAGAGAATAAAAACAATAACTGTATAAGTATAAATTAAGTATTTTGTAATTTTACATATAGATTACCTCAACAATGAATCACTGAAAAATCACTAAAGGACCTGAGGTGGAGCATTTAATAGCTGAAATACAAGATGCATGAAATAAAAATAAAGTGGACTTACTCATTGTTTAAGCAACTTTTGTTAATGCCATCTAACATTTCAGACAATGAAAGATTTTTTTCCTTTCACTAAAATACCCTTTATAATTACCTACTTCAAATTTTTTTGCTCTATTTTCACTTATTTAACATGCTTCACTTTATTTTTTTAAGATTTGACTAAGTCCTCCACTCTTTTTTTTTTCTTTAAGATTTTATTTATTTATTTGACAGAGATCACAAGTAGGCAGAGAGAGGAGGAAGCAGGCTTCCTGCCGAGCAGAGAGCCCAATGCGGGGCTCAATCCCAGGACCCTGAGATCATAACCTGAGCCGAAGGAAGAGGCCTAACCCACTGACCCATCCAGGCACCCCTCAGTCCTCCATTCTTAAAATCAGTAATTACCAATAGTTTTCTCCAGTTTCAGGAACTTATTCGTCTCTTCCATGTTCCCCTGCTGATATCATAGCCCTCTCTTCTCTCCTTTTGTTTTCTTTCTCTATTTGATTTCTACACTGTCCATCACCACACCTTGAAAATATCTGTGTCAAGTTTTCTTCCTTTCCATTGTCTTCTTTGGTTTGTCTACAACAGCTGGTTCTCTTAATGAGCAAAATGACACTTCTTTGAATTTGGGTCTTTCACAGAAGCAACCACTATTCCTAACTGTAATCTGCAAGATTTCAATTACTTAGAATTTATAGACATCTGGAATACTGGTGTTGCTATTTCCTTCCTTTCAGGATTTATTAAATATGTACTAGGTGCTTTAAAAGACATGAGCTACATTCAATACATATCTTTCTTACCTCAACTCCAAACTTACAAGAAAAAGTGATAAAATATTCTTAACCTTTTCATATTCTTTTAAGGCTTTATTTATTTATCTGTGAGAGAGTGAGAGACAGAAAGTGGGAGACAGGGAAAAGGGAGAGGGAGCCCTCCCCTGAGCAGGGAGCCCTCCCCTGAGCAGGGAGCCCTCCCCTGAGCAGGGAGCCCAATGTGGGGATAACTCCCAAGATCCTGGGATCATGACCTGAGCCAAAGGCAGATGCCCAACTGAGACACCTAGGTGCCCCAAGCTTTTCCTTTTCAGACTATAATACTCTTCAAGAATGTTTTACACACTTAAATGTAAGAATTATAAATGAAAACTTGTGAGAAGAAGCAAAGTAAAACCCCTAGCATAAGTGAACATTTATGCTTTAGGAAAGAAAAACAAATGTGCTGCAGCAAATTGAACAAATAAATTTCTCATTAAGTAAAATCATCTAAACATCTACCTTAAGGAGTTGAAAGCAAAGTCTTCATCCTACTCATTAATAAAAATATTAAACACGACCACTCCCAATCTCACAATCATCACTGAATGACTGTATTTATCCTAATCTAGGTTGACATCTTTTCTATGAATCCTTTATGACTCACTCCATGAAATATACCACTTACTCTGAATTCTTTTAATACATCTAAGTATTCATTTCATAGCACATATCTGTTTTCTATTATGTAACTTCAGAATTTTTTGTATTTTCATACATGCACGACTGTCTTGCAGCTTTCCTATGCTTAATCTTCTGCAAGAATGGTCCATTTGCTCTGTACTCCTTTTATACTAATGAGTCCTACTCACAAGCTGCCAGGCTATGCACCTTCAAATGTTCAAAGTCTCGCTTCTGGCTCAATAACTAGCCTTCCCTTCTACAGTATTTTAGCTATGCAGGCAATTATTGGTTGCAGCATATTTAAAAAATATGCAAGACAAAGTTATAGAATACCACTGTATCAAGCACTGGGCAAGCTGCACGGGGGATTTAAAATTGAGGAAAAGAACAGTATGAGAGAGAATACACTGACAAGTAATATTCATAAAACATCCCCTACATATATATTGTTGTACGCAATTATGAGTTCTTTTGAAGTCACATCTTAAGAATGGAAGAGAAAGGGAACAGTTCATAATAGAAAATGAAATGCTATATTCTCAAAGCTGAGACAGATGACCTCCCTTTCATCTGCATCCGTTCTCTCACTGTGTGAGGCCTGGAAACCCCAATTGCTGAATCAAGCCTATCATCTACTTCCTACCAAAAATACCTGGTTATAAGCTTCTTTAAGAAAGACTAGTAACAGGGCAATCTCTTTGATTTCAACATTTACTCTGATATTTAGTATACCTCTTGAGGTAGCAGTTTGACTCACTTAAATTCACCCCCTCACTTGTAAGAATAACCTTACTGTTCCATAACTTCCAAATATCATCAATAGGCATGTTACTACTTCCACACAGATAAAGATACTCCTGTGTATTGAGAAACTGGAGGCTGAAGGGAATATGTGGTGGAGGCCTGGAGAAGCAAGCAAGATGGGGGTGGAGGGAAATGGGGAAAGGGCTATGAGGTGGCAAGAAGAAGGAATTTATCTCAACATGAAAACACTAAAGTTCATTTTGATGCCCTTTCTGTTTCTTGCCCACTAATGTCTCTGGTTTCCTCTTTGCGGTTTCTTTTTTAATTCAAGTACCAGTCCTCTAATCAGGATTAGCTTAATGTCCTAGTCTCACATCTCACAAGCTTTCCTTCTCTTTCATCAGCTGCACAAGGTACAATTTAGGAGTAATGTTTTCTCACCCAAGAGGAAGATCAGTTTTGGTCACTGCGTTCCAGTAACAAAATTGCCCCTCTTGCCAGCTCCAAGGCTGTGTACCTTTTAACATTCAAAGTCTAGCTTTTGACTCAAAACCTAGCCTTCCCTTCCACAGTTTTCCTAAATTTTTCACATGAAAGAGCAAAAGCCTCTTCCTTTCCTTATCTTTTACTATTAACAATAAACAGACCCATTTTCCCATACATCTCTAGCAATAACACACCTTATTTTGTATTTTTGCTGACAACTTTAAAACCTTTGCAAAATAATTCAAGTTATCTCCAAGCAATGTTTACTTAGTGTTAGAATGAAGGTATCAATTTCAAGTAGCTATATTTATAGAAGTCAAAAAGTAAATCTAATTCTAACTTTATTTTCAGAAAGAAAAACACTTGTTTTCATCATTGCTCAAACTTACCTTATCAACATATTTCTTAGAATTGTAAAATCACAATGTTCACCATTTTCAACTATATAAAAATACAAAACACATACATTAGTTCTACTAAGCCAAGTCTTTTCAAAGGAAATTTCTCAGAATATTGTAGGAGTAACAATGAGAGAATATGCAAAATTTCATTAACTTTTCATTAGATCAAAACTTTTCATTATAGTTTAAACACTATAACATAGTACTTAACTGAAGGGCATGCCAAACAAGGGTACTATAATATTATTTATTGTAGTGTAATCCTCAATGATAAAATATACAAACCTAATAAATGAGCTCATCAGAAACAATCTTGAAATTCTTAAAGGGGAGACTGTATATTCACTTCTAAGAGACTGTATTTATTCCACAATAAAATATATCTTTTTAAAGATTTTTTTATTTATTTGACAGAGACGACAAGAGAGGGAGTGAGCATAAGCAGGAGGAGCAGCAGAGGGAGAGGGAGAAGAAGGCTCTCCACTAAGCAGGGAGCCCAGTGTGGGGCTCGTTCCCAGGACCTGGGATCATGACCTGTGCCAAAGGCAGACGTTTAACCACTGAGCCACCCAGGTGCTCCATAAAATGTATTTTAAAAGCTTAGTGGGCGCCTGAGTGGCTCAGTGGGTTAAAGCCTCTGCCTACAGCTCAGGTCATGATCTCAGGGTCCTGGGATCGAGCCCCACATCGGGCTCTCTGCTCAGCAGGGAGCCTGCTTCCTCCTCTCTCTCTCTCTCTGCTTGCCTCTCTGCCTACTTGTGATCTCTGTCTGTCAAATAAACAAATAAAATCTTAAATTAATTAATAATTAATTAATTAAAGCTTAGTGTTATGGTGAGGGAGAATCACTTTAGAAAAGCCTTCTTAAGGTGGCCAAAATAAAGCCATAAGTCAAGAACTTTAAGGTTCTTTATTTTTAAAAAATGAATCACTGGTAAGAACATTCTGGTGGGGGGGGGGCTACTAAAACTAAACAAACAAAGCAATTCTATCAGCCCCTATTTTCAAGGAATATAAAAGTTCTAAAGGCTCAGCTCAGCAACTGAAGGTTACCAGAGGATGACAGAGAGCTGGGAATGAGTACAGTCACTCACTGATAGGGAAAACTGCTGATAAGGAATATAACTTGGAACAATCTGCTAAAAATTACAGAATTTTTCAAACTAATAACAACAAGTAGATAAAACAATTATGACTCAATCTTGGTTCCAAGTTACTGTAACACAGAAGATTAAATATTAGGTCACACCAATACAATAAACACAAATTTGGGAAAAGTGTCTATTGCCAAGAAGATTTCTGAGGTTTGGTGCTATGAACTAAGATTTTACTGGTATTTAAAACGCCTTAAAAATTAGTAGAGTATCTCTTAACACTGAATTTTTTTTTTACTATAAAGATGTAACGCCAAGAAAAGATGACTTTTATCCCAAAGAAAGGATATCATGAATGTTGTGATTTGGTTTAAAATGAAAGTTGTTCTCATTCTTTAGGGTCCCAGACCCATCTGAGACTCAGATAAAAATGACAGTCCTTTTCTCCAAAAATTATTTTCAATTTCAGAAGATTTATTAGATCCCTTGGCAGCAACCTTTGGGCCCCAGGTAAAGCGTTTCTGCATTGTAAGTATGTTTTCAAACAAGAAAACATGAGTATATTTAATGATGGGACAGAGCATACTGACAAGTGACTTGGAAAGTATTACAATTGGGATTTAACACATACTAACTTGCCTGACTTAGTAGAACACAAACTGTGAGAAACTGGAATGTACTTATGAGCATATGAGGCTAAATGAAAAGGAATTCAGAACTATCTGGAAATCCAGAATATATCAATGTGAAATACAAACTTTTGATCACTTTTGTGAGATCTTACAGAAAGCCATTCATTGAAGAAAACCTTACCTTCAGCAACACCCCAAGGATACTGCCTTCCTCTGACCCTTTTGCCATTAACTTCAATGATAGTATTACTACCTACCACAGCGAGAGGTAAACGGTCCTATAAAACAAAGTTCAAATATATCTCTGTAGTCCTCACAAATTCAAGAATAAAGAAGTTAACATGACTCAACACATTACCAAAATAAAAATTACCCTGACAGTTTATGTATTTACTTTTAATAGGCCATTCACAATTACTATTTATTATTAAAATTGTCATCACATGGTATTCTCATCAATGTAAACAATGAATAAAATTGTATTTTCTTTGAAATTTTAAGAATACTAAGGCATATACACTCACTCCACTTATCAAAGTAGCTGTTTAAAAAATCATCTCCAAAAGAAACTGTCCCATATTGAAAAGTTAGAAAGGGTAAAAAACACATTGGCAGTTAGAGGGAAAACATGAGGCTTGTGACTAGCCTGCCTATCTGATCACAAACCAACCCCAACAATCCTGGAAGCAGGGATTATATGTACTACAACTTTATCTATGGAACTCTAGCTCTGGCGGAGTGGATTTGTGTACATCCAGACTAACTCAGAGTACGATCTTTCAAAATTCTTGTAGCTTCCAGAAATATTTAAGAATATATAAAATATGTAACTATTTTATAAAACCATAGAAATTCTTCATTGGTCAGATATATGTATTTCATTATTCCAAAATAATTATTTGCTTAGATAACGCCATTAATTAACAGATCATTTTTAGGTTCAAAGTACTTAGGAATGACTATAAATTAAAAAACGGAAAATTGTGTTGGTACCAGTTTTGGCTTTTTTTGATACACAGACAAAACAAAACATATTTTTGTCTGGCTCTTAAAGATTGTGCATAGTAGTACTTAGGAACAAATCCTCTCCCTTCTCATTACCCATTTTTTTAAAGAGAAAAATTACATAATATAAAACCAGTTAATTGAAAATCAAAGACAGAGATTATAAAACAGAGATTATGCTATTTATCTCTCTATTCTACACCTCTTATTACATATAACAGCCAATCAACAAAGTTAATTGCAAAGTTGAATTCAATAGTGAATAATCTCCCTAATTCATTTTGTAAGCCAACTACTTAAAACAACTGATTTTTTTAATCTTTTCTGTGGATATTTCAGTGGTTTTAAGGCCCTAAAACATTTTAGTGTATATATGGGAATAAACCTACCTTTATCTTTTTAACAAGCTTATTTTCTTCTTCATCATCTGTCTCTGGAAATTCATATATTTTAATTTTATGTTCTTGGATTTCTTTCATTATCTAAAATGAAAGAGGAAGTTATTAGTAAAAGAACACCACACATACTTAGTAGATTAGCTTTATTTGTATTATATTCTCCTTAAATTCCTGATTCCTTAGCTCTAATTCCTTTACTATTTTTCAGTGATGCAAAACTGTAATCTAAAAGCAAAGAACTATGCTAATCTTTTTTTTAGCTATGAAGCTGATATATAAATACTATTTCCAAAATCTGATTATTTCAGAAGTATTGAAGTTATATGGTTATAATACCAAAAGAGTTCTAAAAATGATGTAAGATTCCAGAAACAGCTTTCTCCAGTTGATTTCTACTATAATGGTTTTACATTATTTATTTACAATGACTGACCTTCTTTCTCTAAATAGAACTCTCACCAACTGTTTTATTCAACTCAATCAACATAGCTTCAACTCACCTAAATTTTTAGTAAAATTTGGCAAATGTAAGTGAAACTAAGTACAGCACTGGCTCCAGAAGAAAAATCGGCATGCTGATCAGAAAATATCCTTGCATGTCCATTTGTGTACACACACACACACACACACACACACACACACATATCAAGGAGTAACAGATACAAGATCAGGCAAGAACACAAAGAGAAAAAACATGTCCTGGAGATTAAGAAGCTCCAGAGCTAATAAGGAAAATGCAGGGGGGGCAAAAAAGGCTACTAATTAGTAACATAGAAATGAACTACTTCAGACTAATTCCAAATCGCTCCAAATTCTAAAGAGAACAGAGACACCCAAATAATGTTCAACTACCTACCCTACTCAAACTCACAATAAACCAACGGCCAATATACCCAGAACTAGGTCCTTGCCTATACAGGTATTTCAGCACAACCATCACTGCAGGGGGCCCCTGCAGCATTAAGGGGCCCTAAACAAAGTAGGTAAAGGTGAAACTGCCACAGAGAAAAACAGGACCACACATCTTTTACAACTGGGATATGTATCTATAAAGAGAAAAACATAATAAATGATGAAGCGTCAAATATATGACTAGGAGAAAAAAAAGAAACACTAGCAGCTTGATCTAAGAGCAGTGGTTCTTAGTCAGAGGCTGTATATTAAAAATGCCAATTCCTCACCTTAATCTACAAAACTTATTGGTAAGGATACAGTTCCAAACTGATTTTCTCTCTCTTTATATATATTTTTTTTTCTAGAGAGACAGAGCGAGGAAGTGAGCTGGACGGCGGCGGGGGAGGACTGGGGTGTTGGAAATCCTAAGCAGGTTCCACGACCAATGCAGAGCCTGACCCAGAACACCATCTTATGACCCTGAGATCATGGCCTGGGTCACAATAACCCTGAGATCATGGCCTGGGTCACAATCAAGAGTTGGGCACTCAACCAGCTGATACCCAGGTGCCCCCAATAACTCATTCTAAAAAACTTCTCCAGATAATTTTCATACGCACCCTGGGATCAAGCCCCTTGTGCTCCCCGCTCAACGTGGAGTCTGCTTGACCCTCTGCTCCTCCCTCTGCCCCTTCTCCCACCCCCACATATGCACAAGCACACATCTCTCTCTCTCTCAAATTAAATATAATTCTAAAGGGTGTGGAGAGGATTGGTGGAGGAGGTTGTAACAGTAACTTCTAAGAGTCTTATTTAAATTGACAAAGGATAACGGCACTATTGGTAACGGATAAGAGCTCTGAGAAGAAAACTAAGGCAGATTATTTTCAAGAGTTATTTTTAATACAGTACAAATGACCATACAGTAAAGTAGCAAGAGAAATACATTGTAACACATTAAACTGAAAATACAAAAGCTGCAAATTACATGAGTGGTATAAGAAACCAAAGAATTCAAGTTCCTTTTCTCACCTGTTTTTTAAACTGTTGGCACTCCTCTGGAGTAAGTGTGTCTGCTTTGGCAATAAGTGGAATGATATTCACTTTTTCATGCAAACGCTTCATAAACTCAATATCCAATGGTTTAAGTCTGAAATATACAATATTTAATACAATTGATTAATTTGGGGGAATAGATCATTCACAACCCCAGTGCTAAATTAAACACACTGGAACTACTTTAATTACTTATCAGAACCACTCTCTGAAGATGTACTGGGTCAGCAACAGTTAGGTAGAACAGGACCTCAACAAGCACTGGAATGTCTAAGAAGGCTTTGACTCCAGCCCCTGAACACCCTGATCATAGGATTTGGGCCCTAAAGAGGAATTAGAAAAACCAGAAAATCTCCTAACAGGCTTTCCTAGAATAGCCTCTATACTTACTACTCAAAATTTGGGAAATCTCTGTTTTGTCTTTAAATAAAAAATAAGAGTCCTCTTTGAACCCCACATTCTGTCCTTGCTGCCATCTTTATGTCTCAGATAAAAGGCTCAAAAGAGACTGTTCTTCACCATCAATTTCACCCATTACAATCTGGCTGCTGCCTTCACTTTATTGTTACACTTTCAAGAAGGTCACCAAATAATGTCATGCTGCTAATATAATTAACATCAATAACTCACAGATATTGTGGTGTTTACCATTACTTCTTGCATTTACTCATTATGCAGCATTTGACATTACTCTCTCATAAGCTGCTCTTCCCTTAGGGTACATCTAAGGATCTTCTCTGTAAGTTAGTCCCTTAAGAGTTACCTTCCTCAGAGTGCTCTAGACTAGGCAGTCTTTTCTCTCTACTCTAATTTTGTATGCTTATCATTGACCACAATGACTTCTATCATCCTCTATGAGTCTCAAATCTTCCTTCACATCCTGCCCAGATCTCATTCTTATGTTGGAGAGTCATGTTTACCCAGTGCAAATATTACTTAGACATCCAATTTTAGCTCCTCAAAATCAAAAGCTCATCTGAACCCCAAATTTTCCTTCCTCTTCTGTGCTATTTTTGAGGATGGTACTACAATCCACCCAGTTACTCAAGGCTGAAACTCAGGGTTCCTTCCTCCACTGATTCTCACTCCCAAAGATTTCCCAAAACCTGCTGAACAAATAAATGTATTACTTTGGTTCAGGCCACTGAGACCTTTGATACGGACAATTACTAGAATGCACCCAGTTTCCCTCCAAACCGTACACACTGCAGTCAGAAAGGTCTTTCTAAAATCCAAATCTGAGTGAGTCATTTTCCTGACTGAAAACCTTACCAAAGGCCAGATTCCTTGGCTAGTGGGGCCTACAAGGCCTGTGAAGACATAGCCTTTCTGGCTGTCTTCATCTGTTAGCATCCTTTACCATCTTCTGCTATCTCCTACTTATAATGTTCCAGCCTTTTTGAACCTCTCATGATTCCCTGAAAGCACCATACTTTGACAGGTCATGGGCTACTGCCTCTACCTAAAACATGCTCCATTCCCATTCCCCTTCTACTTGGCTTGCCTAATTCCTATTGGTCCTTTAGAACTTGGTTTAAATTCTCATTTCCTCTGGGAATCTTTCCCCAACCTAACACTAGGCATCTTCTAAGAGGTCACAACACTTAATTTGCCATATATTGTGTATTTGTTTTCCCTATCTTCTCACTGGCAGATCCTTAAGAGCAAAGTCTTTGTCTCATTCATCTGTATCTCCAACAGCTATTATAGTGTCAACACCTGAAGTTCCCAAATACTTGTTGACTAAAAAAGTAAGCTGCTGTGATTTTTCTTATGTTCTTGAATAACTCTAAATGAAAACCAAAGAAATTCTTCACATCTAGAATGTAGTATAGGCTAAAAATTAATATTCCACAAAAGTAAGTGAAGGAGTATTTTGCATAGAAATACCATTCTAAACTGGTATTCTTTAATTTACAAACCTTAAAAACAACTGGAATAAAGATCTACTCTCATGATGAATTTTACTAAAATAAAATAAAGAGTCCTTTTAGAGTACTACAGTTAAATAAACACATTGTGTATGTGGATATATCTGTATATACTCACACATACATATATGTAAGTAAATGGGAGGTCAGGGACCCAGAGACTAAAGAGGTATTCCTTTTTACTAACAAATAATAAATAATACTCTATCTCTTAGTGGTAGTGATGCTGACTGGCAGAAAGATAGGGATATGGAGTAGGAAGGCAGGTATGGAGAAGATACCTACCTCCTATTCTAATTCTCCTTATCCTGAATCCTTTGAAATGTGTTATTGGCATTCAGAGAATAAGGAACACCACAGAAAAGAGACTGTCACTGGAATAACACTGTATTATCTATAAACAGCACCCTTACTTCATAAGTGCTAAGTGAAAGAACCTACCCAACTTTGAACAATTTAGGTTTTGCTTTTTTTCATCAGTCATTACATACAACATTAAATATAAAAGCCATGACCCGGTCAATTTCAGATTTGTAAATTTTTGTAGTTCACTTTCCAGATTATACTCACAATAAATTTAAGTTACCCCCAATACCACCTCATTAAACCAGTAACAGAAAAGAACTCAGTCTAATATTTTTAGACATCTTAAGATCATTTAATATAAAATATTAAAATTAAAATCAAAGTTAACAAGGTTTTACACTTAAAAGTAAAACAGGACTTGCTGAATATTTGTTATCTCAACTTTAAAAGAGAAAGATACTAAAAAATAACCATGACAAAGAAATGGGTAAAGTCAACTTCTTAAATATGAAACAAGGCCGAAGAACATTTAAATCAGTTTAAAAATTAAACTTTAGGGGGAAAAAAGGATAAAACCTTTATAAAAGCCCCAATATAACCCTTCTGCCCTTTTAAATTAGAATACAAATTTCAGAAGCTTACAAAATGTCAACAGCAGAAAACATTTAGTTCACATGTAGATTACATTCTGGTTGAAATTTTTCCTCTGTCCATTTATAGTTTTATTTCAGGTCATCTTTTCCAAGAAATTTAGTTTTAAACAATGGAAAGTCCTTTATAGAATTTCTAGAAGATAAACCCACATTAGAGGGAAAAGACTATTTAACCTCAAAGCCTACAGCAAAATAAAATGACTACAGGGCAAATGACAAATATTTATAATATATACACATACACATATTTCTAAGGAAAAAAATCTTCTATACAAAACTCACTGAATGACACTGATTTTTTTAAATGGCAATCAATATTCAAAAGGGTAAGTATACCATTTTAAAACTCAAGTTCCAAGTCAGTTTTTAATTTAATAACTTAAATTACCAAGCACTGAACAGAAAATGAAGCAACAATTCCTGAAGTCATAAATCAGTCCTGTGTTTACAGATGACACTGGGTGGGCTGAGGTGGGGGGACACTGAAAATACAATGTTGAACCAATTTATAATTACTCCAAAACAGGACCCCTCATAAAAGGGAATCTAGGTACTACCCAGATAAGATAGAAAGGCCCTGATTCAACTATTATTAGACTGCCTAGAATTTCAGTCTATAGTGAACAGGAGATCAGGAACTCTCTACATAAATTCAATGTTTTATTCTTTCACTTAATCCACAGTAACACATACCAATGGGCAAAACTTTGTTCCATGCCTCAAAGTAGTTAAGATGAGAAACTATTCAAAAGCATGTTTTCAGAAAATAAAAATTTTGAACCCCTGTCTCTCATTACAAATAAGAAATGGCCCAAAGCTACCACACACTGTTTGAATCATTAAAAAAAATTTTTTTTTAAATCTTATTTCCCATGCAATTTTAAGGAATATACTTTCCCCTAGGGATGGAAGGAATGTGATTTCATGAGAATTACTAAATACTGGAGAGAGTCCAAAAGATCTAAAATAATAAAACTGGATAAAAACCGTCAAATTTCTATTGACTAAAGTGCAGTTAAGATTTTATTCCGTTGGCTTCCAAGAAAAGCCCTAACAAGTTAACATAAAATGATAAAAAAAAAAAAAAAATAGTATATAAATTCAGGAAGAAGCTAGCAGGTACTCATAAAAGGCCATGTACAGTGTCTTGTTTTTGAGTTGTTTTTTTTGAGCCTTTTAAGTAGATGAGTCAATCTTGCACATTAAATATGTAAACTTCTTAGAGCACTACAGAAGAATATTAGAAATAAAAGAAGAAATACTTGCACCACCATAATCTGACAGTGCAAAAATGGTAAACTATATAATTAAGACTTTTTGCTCAACCATAATAATGATGATGGGCATTAGTTTATCTAGGAAAATGGTGGAGAAAGCAGCAGAAAACAGAAGAGAAAGGTACTGTTAGGAAGGAACTGGTTTATACTACAGTAATCTACGGTGGCGTAATGCTATTTAGTCTGATGTTACATAATATTCTCGTTCCTTTTGGTGGAGAGATCGCAGCTCTACTCATCAGGTAGCTGAATTATGCAGTCATCTACCCAAAGAAAAAGACTGAAGAAGAGTAAATACAAGTATCTGCAGTTGACAGTGACACATGTACCTACTCAAATGACAGAGGAAGTATAGACAATAAAAAAAGGAATAGAGACTGGCCATACTAACAAAAAAAAAATAATCAGTTCATATGAATGTCTAGATACTTACATTTAAACTCCTAGTAAGTAGACAGTTAGCACAGATAATATGAAACTTAAATAATATGATTGTGATAGCTAAGGTGAAACAGAGCCAAAGAAATTTAGTGAAGAAATAAATGGCACATAAGAACTTAGGTACTTAACTTTTCTGGTAATCTTCTCTATCAGACTCACAGTAAAAACATCTTTGGAGTTTCTTAGAATATGTCTAAGCTGTTATAGCTGTTTCTCATTATTTGGTAGTTCAATTTGTGGCAAGAGGTCAAAAAGAAGCTAAACTAGCCACACTGAGACATTAAACCATGATGGAAACACTTTCTATATTATAGTGAAGCAGGTAAAAAAGTCTTATGTATAAACTAAGAAGTAAAATTACTATTAGCTTATCTAGGACTTAAAAAGTGTTTTTTATAATTTTTTCATTTTTATATAGAATTTGGGATTTCACCACTCGTGTAGTTAAATGTGCTCCACAGAGATCTAGATTACTAAAATATGTACCCGAAGTTCAATAATAATAAGCAACAGCAAGTTACCAGAAGTATCAAGGTACTGACCCATGTCCTGAAGGAGCAATGAAATATAAACAACACTGCACCCTGTTATCAGGCATCTGACGTCTGTTCACTCGAGATTCTGCATTTAGGTAGTCCTCAAATTTACTATCAATGTAGTCAATAACAGGCTGCCAGCTAGAGAAACCAGACAAATAAAAAAATTAAGTTTCAATTTACATATGAATGTACAATTGATGACTGTTAAAGTGGAGTAATCATTATTTTTAAATAGGCAAAACCAATCAAACCACTGGAAAATATCTCAAATTATTCTACATATACTGATTAAAAAACAAATATTAATCACACTGAATAAATCTTGATTCATTATTTCTAAACTTTCCAAATCAAAGAAAATTAATTATATAGAGTCCAAAGCTCAACAAAATTATCGTATTATCTGCATTGGTAAGTACAGAGTTTCAGATTTCAAATGGAAAGATTAAATAATACAAAAACCTCACGACGAACTTATTTCAGTGTTGTTGTTGTTGTTGTTTTTATGTTATGTTAGTCACCATACAGAACATCATTAGTTTTTGATGTAGTAGTCCATGATTATTTAGGTGTTTTAAGAGCTGACAGAGAAATTTACTTCAAAAACAATGTGGTACTCAAAGAAAAATTTAAATATTGTTTAGAAGATACTAAGGTATTATTTCCAAATAGAATGTCATGAATGTTTTCTAAACTTATGACTTGGAAAAGCTGAATATTTAAAATCAGGTTTAAATTAGGATGTGACAGAAAATAATATATACAGCAAGTGGATAAAATTATAGTAGAAAATGAAAAGTTTTAGCTTCCTTATAATAATGAGAATTCTTGTTTCTATGTTGTTTTGGAATTTGCCTCCAAAATAATTCTTTGATAGGTATTATCTCTATTTTATAGAAATCAGTTCAGAAAAAATAAGCAACATTTTCAAGTGGCCAAGTTAGTAAAAGAACTCAAGTCATAGCACTTAAAAGTTCAATAACTTTTGTTAAAATGAGAAGTTTAAAAATCTTAAGCAGAAAAACTCTAACCACCCATACCCCAAACGCAGTGTAAGCAGTGATGATAATCCTTCTTACCAATTACTATTATCCACTGCATCTCCAAATCCTGGGGTATCAACTATTGTGAGCAGCAACTGAACACCACCTTCTTTGATTAAAACTTTGGATTGTTCCACCTGTAAGAGTCATTGGTACAGGTATTAATACCACACATTACACCCGTGGTTTCCTACAAAGTAAGAGGCAGGGGATGAGCATTAATCAAAACCAACTGGAAATTTTTACAAACAAAAACCCACCCCCACATTCTCTTTAGAATCAATTACTATGGATATTAGAAGTCCTGGGTACTTGAAAGAAAGGCACATATAAACAGCTGGTTTATGGTTTATAACTGACATAAAGAAGAAAAACAGGAACTGAGAAAATAGTAATAGTCACTAAAGCCATATAATACTCATATAATCTAAACGCATATCTAATAATATAAACAATGTGCTTGAATGATTTGGTAACTCATAGAAATCAAATGCAATTAACCAAACAAGTACAAATAATGTACCATTTACAATAAATGTTTTCCTGGACTACCTCCACCTAGTTTGGTTCAAATCAATTACTCAAGTTAACTTACTACCATTCCCAAATCTTTTTCAGCATAGCCATAATTATTTACACTTGTGTTTATGGTATAGTTAAGATCCAATTCTTTTCTCAAATATTATACTACACATTTGACAGAGGCAATCAGCAAAAGTGCAGGCACTGAAAAAAAAATCCTACTAACTCTGACTAAAATCTTTAGTTCTCTTTACAATTTGTGAAAATATTCTATTTGAGAAAGGGTATTGGACTTAAACAATGCCAAGAGCAATCCAAAGATTTTCGGTAACCCTGAGCTATGTATCAGAACATACAACTCATTCATTTTGGGCATATGCTCCTGCTAAAGTAAACACTGATTCAAAGAGAAAAAGGGAATAGTTGCCCCAGAAAAACACAAGCTTTCATTCAATGTACATTTATATCAAGGGCTAACTAAGACTAGAGGCTCTTCATATACTGACCGGTTAATTTAAGAGAGAAAAATTAGACACAAATGTTTAGTGTTAATTGCCAAAAGATGGTATGACTTAAGTACCATAAGACTTAAGGGAAACTTAATTTTTTTATTTGTCTGGTTTCTCTAGCTGGCAGCCTGTTATTGACTACATTGATAGTAAATTTGAGGACTACCTAAATGCAGAATCTCGACTGAACAGACGTGAAAAGCAACTTCAACTATTTATGTTTTGGAAAGGAAAAGTGACTAATTTCTAGGTAGAAAAAGTTGAGTGTACCTTTTGGTATTACAAATATGATATAATTTCCATTTTCCTTGGGCATTTTTTACAGAGGCTTGGTGATGCATAAAGAGACTGAGGAATTAAGACTGCTGAGCAAGAAAGTCTGCAGCAACACTGTCCAACATAATGTTGAACAGTTTCTGAGATGATGCAAATGTTTTGTATCTGCACTATCCAATACAGTAGATGCCTGCCATGTGGCTACTTAGCCCTTGAAATGTGACCAGAGCAACTAATAAGCTGAACTAACTATTTAATTTGAATCAACTTAAATTTAAATAGACATATATGGCCTGGTGACACTGAATTGGACAGTATAGGTCTATGTCAGCCAACAGTTGTTAAAAAAAATAATATAAAAAAAATCTTGTTAAAATTGAAAACACTGCCTAAGATTTGGACGTGTATGCCCATGGAAGGGCTTCTAATCTTTTAGACAAATAAAAGGCAAAGGTCTTATCTTTTAGACCAGTGGTCTTTATACTGTTTTAGTCCCAGTGTGAAATACCAGTGGAAATTTTGAACATTCCAAATATATTTATTTATATCTACCAAATATACATAATTGGCAATCTGTTAATAAGTATTAACACAGTATTAATTCTCTGTAGGTTAAAAAAATAAACATCAGTAAATAGGGTTCTTAATATTTTCTGGCCATTTTCAGTATCAACAATAGATGTGTATTACTTAGAAGACCACTGTTTCACACCACATAGCTAAGATAATACAGCTAGTCTGATAAACCCGTTTACTCTCACAACATGAGAAAGGTAAAATGAGGAAATAATCAGACTTACCAGTGTTAGATTTTCAAAACTTTTTTTAAAAAAGTGATATTATGCCACGTGATTTACAAAGTTCGTATTTTATATATATCGTTGTCCTCTAGTCAAAGGACAATCAAGTTATTTGTCATTATATATCAATTTAAAAAATGGACAATTTCCAACATCTCCATATACCTTGATTTGCTTCCATCTCCTTCCATAAAAACAGCTTATTCATTTATGGTAACTGGCACTGAAGTAGAAATATCCAAAGTAATCATACCATCCCTTTCCTAATAATTCTTTTAAATGACAAAGCACTGAATATTAGAAACTGATGCAAAATATAATTGTTCTACATGAGTCATCTCCCAATTTTACTCCAAACCATTTCTGGTTCTCTTATTAGTAAGTAAAGCCCATTTCTATCTTCAATAATAGGTTGTATACTAATCACACACTATACCAGCTTAAATTTTAAGATCCTTGTTTCCTTGTTTTTATAATCAGTTTAACTTAATTGTTTACTGATATAAAAAAAATTAAGATCTGTATTTTAAATACTTCAAAGAGTCTGTTTATAAAAGGTCTTTTCAGGTCTATGAATTTCTATGTATCCATATATGGTAAAATAGAAAGAAGAAGGCAACATATGGAAGATATCCAGAAAACTTAACTGTAAACTAGTGCCATTCACAGGATCCAACTGTATCCTATCATCTGGTTTTGCAAGTATCCTCATGGGATCCATGGAAAACAAATTAGTTCAAGTCCAGGAATTTCAAACTTTTCTTAAGAAATCTATTCCAAATGGCTACTTTCCCATGCACTTTACTTAAGCAGGTCACATCAGCATATTTTATGGCATCACTCAAAATCCTCTAAGATTAAATGCATAATTTAATACTGAAGGAATGAATCAAGGGTATTTTCAATTATGTGTTTCTCTCTGAAAAATAAAACTAAAGCCCATTACATTGCTTATGTATAATTAATTTACAGAGCCCTCATTTGGACTCCTACTTTCCAGAAATCCAAGGCACTCTTTTTTCTAATATTGTTCCAATTTTCAATCTGAGAAAAAAAAAAATTAAACATTCAGTGTTTCCATAACTTCATTTCTTTCATTTTCAAAAGACCGTTAAAAGTTTTATAACATAATGTTATAAAAGAGCTATTTGTTAAGTAGAAAGTGTTACTTAATTAACTATATTAAATTTCATAGAGAGGGTTAAAATTTTCTGCCAGGAGCTTACCTCTCTACCCAAACTTGTTCAGGAGGTGGCATTAGGAGGTGCAGGGACTTGGGACAACAGAGACTTAAATAGCCTGAGATATTTCACTTAGCTCAAACACAGAAACTATCTACTTTGATTATTTAATGCCTGATAAATAAATTAGATAGATATTTAAGATAAAGATAAGATATATAAGATAAATATCTATCTTAAATACTTAAATACTTCATTATGTTCCATAAGAAACTAAGAGGCGATGACCAAAGGTACAATACTTATGCCTAAAGATTATATCCTTCTCATAAAGCCCCTGACCTAGTTTATTAAGAAAGCAGATCCAGGGATGCCTGGATGGCTCAGCCAGTTTAGAGTCTGCCTTCGGCTCAGGTCACGATCCCAAGGTCTTGGGATCAAGTTCCACATCCAGCTCCTTGCTCAGCAAGGAGCCTGCTTCTCCTTCTGCCCCTCCCCCTGCTCATGCTCTCTGACAAGTAAATAAATAAAATCTTAACAAAAGAAAAAAGAAAAAAAGAAAGTTGTTCCAAAGATTTGAATTCTAGGGGCACCTCAGGTCATGATCTTAGGGTCATGAGATGGGAGCCCCACACTGGGGTTTGTGCTCAGCGTGGAGCCTACTTGAGATCCCTTCTCTCCCTCTCCCTCTTCCCTGCCCCCCACCCAGCTCTTGCTCTCTCTCTCCAATAAATCTCTAAGCACGCACATGTGTGCACACACGCACATACACACACACACACACACTAAATCACTACCCCTAACTTCCCCTGACTCCTTACACTGAGATCTTAAGCAACTTGACCCTTTCATTTTCATTAGTAAGCCCCCTCCTAAATCCTTTATTTCCTTTTCCTTTCCAAGCTCAGATATCTTTCTGATCCACAAAATTCATGAACTTCGATTTGACAGGAATTTCCCTGCTATCCAATAATCCTTCTATGTGCTCCTTAGTCTCATGCCACTCTCATTTCTCAGTATGGGTCTTTTCTACCCTATTTCTGTCCATCCTCAGCAAAGTACCTCATCTCTACATGAAGACAAGAGCATCCCCAATTTGTCTGAAGCAACAGTCTTTCCTTCTGTTCAGTGGAATAGATCCCTTTCTTCCTAAGGCTAATTTCTTAATCTATACCAGGAATCTGATTATTCCATATTGGAGTCATACTGACAAGTGTTTAGACTATTTATCCTTTATTTTCAACCTCTTGTCTCTTCAGGGATTAATTCCCCATAGGATATAAACATTCTTAGGTCTTTTTTGGAAATAAAAACCAAACGACTGCCTCAGTACCCTACACTCAACCTCTAGGTATTCACTTTCATCCCTTCCTTCATAGCCATCCCATCATCCGTGCCTCATTTACTATTCACTTCCCAACCAGTGCCATATTGCCCTTCATTCCTACTACACTAAAATCTGCCAAGGTAATCTATAGCACCTTAGAGCAGCACATTCTCACGAAATCATATTTGTTTGCTATATCCTTCATGTGACTAGCTTAAGAACTTTGATTATGGGGGCACCTGTGTGGCTCAGTGGGTTAAAGCCTCTGCCTTCAGCTCAGGTCACGATCCCAGGGTCCTGGGATCAAGCCCTACATCGGGCTCTCTGCTCAGCAGGGAGCCTGCTTCCCCTCCTCTCTCTCTGCCTGCCTCTCTGCCTACTTGTGATCTCTGTCTGTCAAATAAATAAATAAAAATTTAAAAAAAAATAAGCATTTAAATGTCTGTTCTATGAATAGCTCAAAAAACTATCAATATTGGACCAATATCAACAAGAGAGCTTCCTAACTGGGCTTTACAAAAA